GAACCCGAAGAAATTGCAAAAGCGAAGGTTTTGAATGAAATGAAACCAACGGCCAAACCGAGCCAAATATATGCAGATGCTTTATCGGGGTTAGATGAAGAAGACAGAGCAAATGTAGGCCATAAAGATCACGTGACAAAAACAATTAGAAACCAACGCCGCAAAAATATTCCAATTGAACCATCCAATACAGAATTCGAAATACCAAAAGCTTGGCAGATGAGAGAAGGCAACGAAAATGTCATCATCTACGACAGTGGAGCCAATCCATTCAACCGGATAATTGTTTTTTCGACATTCGTGCAATTACAACAAATGGGAAGAAGTACTAGGTAGTTACATTTTATTTATTTAGGAAGAATGCGGCTTATTAAATTAATTAGTTACTTCGAAATTGAAGTTCCATCTGTAATTAAACCACTTCGCTTATTTTTGATATATATTAACTATTATATATTTGCAGATGGTTTATGGATGGTAATTTTAGCTTGTCTCCAAATGTTTTTCACCAACTGTACTTTATTAGAGTTGCCTATCTTAACCATTATGTAACATGCGCCTATGCCCTAATGACATCAAGAAATCAGGCGTCATATGAAGAAGTTTTTAGGGCAATTAAAGATAAGGCGCAAGAACACAACATAATTTTGGCTCCAACCACTGTTATGTTAGACTTCGAAATTGCCTCCAGACGTGCCTTACATGATATCTTCGGTGCAAACGTAGAAGTTGTAGGATGTTTTTTCCATTTGACACAGTCAACATGGAGAAAGGTATAGTTGCATGCTTTGTTAACTATTTTTAATCAATTGTCATTTTGCCTGTTTGAATGAAATTTTGCTATGGATTTTTTATTTTTTATTTATTTGTTATCTCAAATTCAGATAGCAGAGCTAGGTCTAACAACCATTTACAAAGAGAGGGATGATGTTAGACATTTTGTTGGCATGCTAGATGGCATTGCTTTCTTGCCAATAAACCGTTTGTATGATGCCCTCCAACACCTAGAAAGGAATATTCCAGATGTACCCAGACTAGAAAATCTTTTCATTTATTTCGATAAAACATATGGTAGAGGGCCCTTCAGGAACAACAACAACAATAATAATATCAACCAAATTAGGTTGATCAGAATGCCTGCTCTATTTCCGCCCGAAACATGGAACGTTTTTACGATAACATTAAATGGTCATGAAAGAACTAATAACGTTTGTGAAGGTTGGAATAATAGTTTCCACAATTTAATTGGCCATTTTAATCCATCGTTATGGACTTTAATCAGTGCCATCAAAAAAGATCAAACATCTGCTCTAACATCTATTGGTCAAATTGACCGAGGAATTCAAATAAATAAGCCGAAAAAACGACAGTCAAAATATTTCCAAGAAAGAATGGAACGATTGTGCAAAGACGTTAGAGATGGCCGAAGATCTACATTGGAGGCTTTAAGAGCCATAGGACACTGTATTGTGTTAAATAGGAAAAATTTACCAATGATTTAAGTGTATTTTATGCGATAGACATTTATAGAGATATTTTTTATTTGTCATTGACCTCTAAACATAATTTTTAAAATGTTTTTGAAGGTAATTTCGTTGAATAAATTTTTGTTAAGACTTTTTTCTTGAAGACTTTTTTTCTTGAAGACATTTTTTCTTGAAGACTTTTTTTCTTGAAGACTTTTTTTCCGAAGATATTTTTTCTGAAGACTTTTTTTCCTGAAGACTTTTTTTCAGGGATTCATTGAGAGATACTGTGAAACAGAAAATTATTGAGGATGTAAAGCAAGCAAAGTATTACGGGATAATGTTTGATTCAACACCTGATATATCTCACCAAGACCAATTAAGTGAGATTATTAGATATGTTCATATAAAAAACAAAAATGTAGAGGTAAGAGAATCATTTTTAGGATTTTTTCCTCTTGCCAGAAAGAAGGCTATTGATATCACACAAAGAATTGTAAATATTATTGATGAAGAGAGTTTGGACATAAACCTATGTCGAAGCCAAGGTTATGACAATGCTTCGGTAATGTCAGGTGTTCATTCTGGGGTACAAGCCAGGATCCATCAAATAAATCAGAAAATTTTATTTGTACCTTGTTCTAATCATTCACTTAACTTGAGCGGGGTTCACGCATTTGGAAGCAATCCAAGTTGTGTAACGTTTTTTGGAACAATTGAAAGCATTTACAACTTCTTTTCTTTATCAACTCATAGATGAGATATATTGTCAGAAATAGTCGGGATCACTACAAAAAGGCTAGCAGGAACCAGGTGGAGTGAGCAATATCATGCGGTGAAACCTGTAATGAATCATTTCAGCAAGTTGGTACAGGCTTTAGAAAAATTATGTGATCCATCAAAAAATGTAGATACGAGAGGTTCAGCTCAAATTTTAATGAAAAATATTCAAGATTTCAAATTTCTTGCTTATCTTCATTTCTGGAGCAGTACTCTTGAGGAAGTCAATCATACTCAAAAATACTTGCAAACAGAAGGAATTGGTTTAGATAAAACCATTGAAAAATTAGATACCTTAAAACTTTTTCTGCATGAGAGTCGCGATGAATTGGTTGAAAATGCATTGATATTTTCTACAAAAATTTGTGAAAAAATGGGAATAGCTACAGAAAAATTGGGTCGAAAAAGTCAGAGAAAACTTATGCCTGGAGAAGAAAGTAAAGATGAAGCTTTAACGCTGAAACAGGAATTGAGACGATCAATGCTTCAGTCACTTGATAATTTTTATCAAGATCTTAGAAAAAGGATAGAATCAATGCAGAATGTATATGTAAAATTTGCAGCCATTCAATCATCACATCTTATTGGAATGGAGATAGAAGAACTTTCAAAGCTGATACCAAATCTGACAAACGTTTGATGAACTTGAAGAAAATGAAATGATACCCGAAATTAAACGATTAAGACGTCATCTTCAAGCAGGGAAAATTGAGAAAGATGATGTTAAAAATGGTCTGCACTGAAAATGTTAACCTATATAATAGAAATTGATTTACACGAGTCAGTTCCAAACTTATATTTAGCTTTAAAGATTTTTTTGACAGTGTGCGTTTCAATTTCTTCTTGCGAAAGAAGCTTTTCAAAATTGAAGCTGATTAAAAGTTATCTTCGTTCGACAATGAGTCAAGCATGACTTAATGGCTTAGCAATCCTATCAATTGAAAACACAGTGGCGAAAAATATTAACTTTGATGAAACAATACAAATATTTTCTGATGCAAAATCTCGTAAAAAACAGTTTTAATATATTTTTCGATTAGCTGAATCAAAATTTTGTGGTATATGTGTACTGACATGTGTAAATGTTTTGTATCTATGTATATTGCATTTTTGTAAAACATAAAATATAAAAACATTTTTCATTTATTTTCTGCATCATCAGCCAATTAAAAAATGAAAAAAAGAATAAGTGCCTTATCCTTTTCTGGACATCGGCGACCATCAATTTCCACAAAATATGGACTGTGGTTAGTTTTTGTCGATGAATTTCTTGGCAGAGGTATAGACATATGTTACCATTTCTTTTTGCCATTGCATCAAATAAGCGACCATATGATGGTCTTTGGGATGAACAGCATGGTATGCTTTCGAACTCGATGACACTGACTTCAACGACCAAGCAGATAATCATTACATCCACCATATAATATCTATGTATATGTAATACATATTATTTATTTATGAAAGGCATCACAAATATTTCCGCCCCGGGCCTTAAAGGCCCTAGGAACGCCACTGGGTCATTCAAGCCGCGAAAAACTGATTCCTTACTGACAGTGGCAACTCTAATGATTATAAACAATAACTCATTTTTTACCATTTCTTGGTGCAAATCATTTTGTTTTTATAAAAAAGTTGTCTCAATTTTTCATACCTAATTTATTTTAATTTAAAAATGTGGAAAGAAGTTTTATGCAGAGGAATGCAATAAAAAAATTAAAAAATTAATGTTGTGAGAACAATTAACTGTCTCACTGCAGTTCCGACGAAATGACTAGTTTATAATTTAACATCACGATTGGAATCTTAAAAATGCACACAGCAACGTTCACTCACAGCTGTCTTGAATACTATTTCAATGATTTCTTGATAGGAAATTATGGTTAACCATTCTGAACATTTTCACCATAAGTGCGTATGCGTGGCAGATAATGACCACAACAACGGAATATATAAATCATTTATATTTCCCTCTATTTAAGCGATGATTAAGACGACAACAATTTTGTTTGACAATATAATAACAAACAGAATAATAAAACATCGCAAAAATGTCGGGTAAGACTTACAGAAGAAGATTCGAAAAGAAGGTGAAGAGTTTTGTTGGCATGAGAATTTATTTTTGCAGCTTTCATTGTATGGTATTAACAAAGGCATGGCATGGCATTCACATGGCATTTGTTTCTTTGGTTCAAGATTAACTGCTCGGGTCTCTAAATTGCAGCGTTTTTCACCACATAATGAATGAGTGTATTAGTGGAGGAGAGAATTAAATTTGGAATGCTGCAGATGGTGAGAAATTGTTCAACTGGAAAAGCACCAATTTATTTGAAAAAGTTGGTTGATACATTTGGTTCTGATGTCTTGAATGAAGAAGATTGAGATCAGTGACTCAGGAGATCTTGTGTGTCCACAGATTTGGGGCGAAAATGTTTCCAGTTAGCAGGTTGATTTAACAGTTAGTACACATACTGGCCAGGAAGTATTCAAAAGCCGTTTAAAACATCAGTTCTTCAACAAGATTAAGAATTTAGCGCTGCTGAAGAAAATTCAATAGATTTGCTTTACAAATCTACAAAACAATACAGCCAAAAATCTATGAACAAACCAAAAAAAGATACTTTAAACTAAGTATATTGATAAATACTCAATCAACCAATCAATCAATTAATTAATTAATTAATTAACTGATAACGAAATCAATAATTTATGAATCGAACAATAAAAGTCAATAAAAGTGAATAATCGTAATACAAACCTTCTGAACAAATTTTCCATCAGGAACAGGTTTGCCTCCGAACTTAATCTCCAGCGCATAATCGCCAGGCTTGGTAGGTGTGTACACGATGCTCATCGTCCCATCTCCATTATCGAGGATGTCGATGTCGACGTCGTCGTCGGAGAGGCTGTTGATGCGGCAGGTCACCTGGCCATCGCCCGCTTTCGAGGGGTCCAGATTTATTGTGCTCGGCTGGCCGACTGCCACCACTGGCTGAACTTCGTCTACTCATCAGGTTTCAAATTTTTTATTCATCGGTTTCATCATTTTGCAAAATTTAAATAAAACGTCTAAATACCACAATAAAGAAATGAAAAGCAAATTGTAATGTAAACTGCCTTATCGAAACTAACCAACAAATTTAACTTTATCAGCATTTCCAACAGGTAAAGATTTGACTTTGAATGGAGAGTTGGGAACGGGCTCCTTATTAAATTTAACGGGAATGACATATTCTCCAACACTTTCTGGGGTGTAGGTGACGTTGTACACGCCCGGAGTGGCCGTCTTCTTGATTTCTGGTCGAACTATGTGACCGTCAGGATCCTAAAAATTTAGATGATTTTTTAAAATTTTATTTGAACGATTTTAATATTTTAAAAAACTGTTAGAAGTTCGTTAACTATCCACCCATGTAAAACGAATCTAAATGTAAAAAATCTGAGCCATTGGTTCATAAAGAACCAATAAAGAGCCATAAAGAACAAAAACAATTTTCAATAGCTAAATAAAAAAATATCGTTAAGATCGTAAAAAAAATAAAATTACACCTGAATGACAACATCAATATCGGCGGGACCAGCCTCTGAGGCGTCCACAACAAACTGCACAGGCAGACTGGCTAGCACACCAGTTGGTTTAATTCCATCACCATTAACTTTGACCTATATCATAATTATATTCAAATAAAATGTCTTAACAAATAAGTTATAACAAAAATTGAATGTTGTCTTTTGAAATTAAATTCCTGCACTTTATAAGGAAGATGTGTCTACCTTCTGAGGATTGATGCTAGATTCAACAGGAATTTTGAAGGGACTGGTTGGCAGCTCCTGATCGGCAAAATGAACGTGAGCCTTGTGCACGCCATCGTGAGTTGGGGTGAATGTTACGTTGAAACAATTATTCGGTTCGTCCTTGATTTGGAATGGAACCTCTTTGCCCTTGTCATCCAGCAGGATGATGCCCACATCACCTAGTCAATGAACAAACATGTTGCTCTTGCGATGCACACCAAGTTTGTTCTAATCTCCTCTCTTAGATATCTTATATATATATATATATATATATATATATATATATGTGTGTGTGTGTGTGTGTGTGTGTGTGTGTGTGTGTGTGTGTGTGTGTGTGTGTGTGTGTGTGTGTGTGTATGAGATCCAAAACAACTTTTTTAATGTTAGATTAGAGTTTAAGAATAGTTATCAAACTAATTGGCCTACAGAGATAACATATTTAATATGAAGTGAGTGGAACAAAGACAGACATTAAACAAAGAACTGTTAGTTACGCGGTCTTAAATTTTGACCACACTTTATTCATACAAATCAATAAAGCCACAACGTTTAAAGTTTCTTCTAATAGATAGAGAGGAAGGAATGTAGCACAACAAACATTCAACATGAACAGCGATGCGTACCAGGGCCAGCTTTAGAACAGTCGATGGAAAATTCAGTAGGCTCTCCAACTTTAGCAGGCACATTCAGGGCATTTCCGTAAACTTTCACTTTGTTGGGGTTGCTTGGTTCATGAACGGATATCTGAAGATGATTGTATAACGAATTCATAAACGTGTTTCTACTAACAATGCAAAACCATTAAAGAGGTAAAAATTATGAAAAATGTAAAAAAATAAATTATTCAAAATATAAAACCTAATTAAATCAAACATGTTAAAATGCCAAATAGTTAACTCATGAAGCCCACCCTATATGGGAATTCATTGATGGGAACGTCACCAAATGTGGCTACAACAACGTGCTTGACAGCCTTCTTAGGAATGAACTTGACAGCGTAAGTACCATCTTTGTTGTCCTTCACCAAAGTGTCTACTGGCTTCAGCTCATCATCCAAAACTTCAACAAACAACTTTCCATTTCCCGCTCCTTTAGCATCGACAACAAACTCAACTGGCTCATTAACAGCGGCACTGCTCTTCAGCCCTGGTCCATATGCTTTAACCTGTTACATAATAATTAATTGTTGACTGAACAACATACAAGATCAAGTCAGGATTTTAATCTATTAAAGCCGAATCACAGTAAAATGAGATTCAGTGGCACAACTAACTTTTGATGGGTCAAACGAATCAGATGGCTTGGGCTTGATGATTGCCATCCATGGTGACATGTGGATATCCTCTTCATCGCACAGGATGTGGATTGCATACTCACCTGGCTCTGTAGGAGTGTAACTAATCAAAGCTGATCCGTCATGATTATCACTACAATTAATCTTGGCTTGTGATGGTCCTTCAATTGAAAATCCTGACGAAAACAAAAAAAGAAATGAAATAATGAAGCATCATAAAAGTAGTAAGTATAAAGCAGCAAAAATTAAACAAATGAACGATTACAAACGCAAGCTAAAAAATAATACAGAACATAACAAAGAAAGAGATATAAACGCCCACCTAATCCGCCAGTTTCGTCATTAGTTTCAACCGTGAATGAAGCAGGATATCCAGCAACTCCACCGTGCAGTCCAGGTCCATAAGCTTTGATCTTTGTCGGCCTCTGCGGTGCCACGTCCACCATGAATGGACTCTTGAAGACGTGGTCACCTCCGTACGTCACGTTTATTGTATACTCTCCAGTTCTGTGTGGCTCGTAACTGCACTCGTACGTGGTTGCATCAACCTGTAGTAAAAAAGCAATTTCAACTGGTGTTGGGTTGGAAAATAGTTAAAATAATACAGAAACTGTTTTTTATTAAATAATTATAAAACAGTAACAATTATTATAAAAGAGAAACCTTATAAAAAAAATTATTAACGAAAAATCCTTTTTAAGAAAAAGTTCAAAAAAAGCATAGTACCTGAAAAAATAAGCTTAAATACATCACCAACGTCATTTCGAAACTTAAACTGGAAGCTTAGTAAGAAGCTGACATAACTTAGGTTAGTCACTTGATGAAAATTTCGTTGCTACAATTTCTTTCCTATCACCCATTACCAATGAATCAAATTTAAGCCTAATTATCTTTTAACAGTCAGCCACTCCCCCCCCCATGACAGCCCAGCACATGAATAAGCCAGCCATCCACTAGCAAAAATTTCAAATAACTCACATTTTGTTTCTATGCGTTTATGAATTTTTTAATCAAATTCAAACGAAAACTTAAACATCGACATCTAAAAGCGAATTTCTAAAAATGTATAAAAACTCATCAGTCATATTAAGGACGACTAATTAAACTGTAAACTTTAGGAGTAATAAAACTAACTTTTTTAATTTTTGGTTTTTCTTCCGCACCTCCAGGACCAGTGATCTGCACCTTCAATTCTCCATCGCCAGCTCCTGCTGTGTGCACCTTAAAATCGGCAACATCGCCAATTCTCAAACCATTCGGCTGCACTCCTCTCCCAGTTATGAAGCACTTTTTGGCATCAACAGCTGAATAGTTTGTTTCATAGCATTCCAATGATAGTTTCGATATCTTGGACATAAATTCTAATTTACATACTTATAAGATTTGAATTTCAAAAAGTAAATTGAGCTAGGTAAAGACGTATTTATGACGGTAGCAAATAGGAAACACTGAAGAATATGTTCCGTAGATAAATGTGGAAGAGCAGAGACGAACCAGGTGAGATGGCGACGGCGAAGGGACTGGTGGGAATGGGCTTGCCAGCAAAGAGGATGTTGACGGTGTGCAGTCCATCTTCGACTGGATTGTACTCAATGAACCACAAATCGTTCGACTTTTTCGTTATGACGGCCTTCGTTGAGTCCTTGTGACCGTGCGAGTCCACAATGACGACGTCAACTACGCCTGTCCCCGCGTCTGAGGAGTGGGTTTTGTGATAAAAAATTTATATCAGCTGGTGGTAAATTAATTTTTAATATATCAGTTATTTTATCATTTATCATAATATAATATTACGAATTGTAATAAAAGTGTATGGTAATTAGCAACCAGCAGCTACAAACACAAGTATATACATGGCGGCGTAACGGGGTGATAGTTGCAAGCACCCGATCCTGCTTTGCAATGACCTGGTTCGATTACAAAGAGATCCATACCTGTCTATGCCATGTGTATGATGCGCCGCTTTCACGCGTATTCACCGACGCTGGGTGTGTTGCGTTGACACTCCAGAAGACAAATGCAAAGGTGATAAGAAAGGGTTAACATGTTGGTTTTTATGAAGTTGAATGAGAGAGAAATACGAAAAAGAAAGATTTTTATCAAATTTATACGATACTATACGATACGATACTTTTTTTATTTGCTTCTAAAAAATTAACAAAAAAATATATATATATATATTTTTACAATATTCTATAAATTCTACCGAATGTTTGGCGTTAACATGTTTGTAGTTCGTTTTTTCGATTTTTCTCACTAAAGTTTTTTGGTGAACGTTTAGTTTATTAAAATTTAAAATAAACTTATTTTCCTACAAACCTGTTAACGCCAAACATTCGGTAGAATTTATAGAATATTGTAAAAAAATATATATATATATTATTATATATATATATAATTTGAAAAGCTCTTTTCGGCATCAACTGCCATCATCAGTGTAGTTATATATAACTATATATATTATAAATATATATATATTATATTATAAATATATTTATTATAAATATATATATAATAAATGAATGAATATATATATATATATATATATGTGTGTGTGTGTGTGTATGTGTGTGTATGTGTGTGTGTGTGTGTGTGTGTGTGTGTGTGTGTGTGTGTGTGTGTGTGTGTGTGTGTGTGTGTGTGTGTGTGTGTGCATTCTTGTCAACTGTGAACATGAATCAATAAAAAACTTTTGCAGCATTTAGAATGAGGATGAATTTTGTAAACAATCGAAGCTCATAAATAATTCAACAATATCAAAAATATTCAAAGAATGCAAAAATATCTTTTTTTTTAATCCTATGTCTTCTTTATCTTCTTTCAATCAGAAATTAACTCTGGTTTTGTAAATGATGAAATTACACGAAAACTACATGCGCCCGCTCTATCACGAACTGGCCACGCCCGTTTAGTGCATGTTTCAAACCCTTGCTAGGCGATCAAAAGATTCAATCATTCATTTATTTATTAAAAAAATTTATTTACAATTAATCGGCGCTGAAAAATTGATAAAATTGAAATCGAATACGTATGCATATAGTTTCGGGGATTCACTCATTTGACAAAATTTGGTATGAGAAATATAACTGAAACAAAAAAGACTAGGTGTTGTGAAAATAATTTTTTGTGTTTCATTGAATCTGAAGCTAATTTACAGCATCATTAAAGTTTATTACTAATAATAAATCATTGTTTTTCAAAATTATAAATGATCAAATCATAAAAATTTTGAACCTAATAAATGAACAAATATGAAAATGAACTTATTCAAAACCAAAAAGTTCAGATAATTTATAATGAGCTGGGTCTATCTGAAAAATAATTGATAAATTGCTATAATTACGGGGCTCAATTTACTAGAAGTATCCTTATTTAAATAAAAATAACGTCCTCTAAATCTAAATGTTGCCAACTTTTCAATACGACATACCAGAGAGTTGTTAATTGTTTTAAAAGTTACATATTACGGTTGAAAAACATTGATATATTATTAACGTGAATTGATAACCGTAAACTTGATGCCATTCATATAGACATCAAGTAATCATTCCCAAAGATTTGTTGCAATGCATGCATGAAACTGCAGCAAGCAACAAAGTGCACACAACGCAAACATAGCGGTTAACTAAATTAAATTTCAGACGAACAACATTATCATCATCATATATACAAATATGAGTGTGCGATTTAATATCATCTTAATCTTTGAGCCTCTAAGCTGAACTAACAAAATAGAGCAAGTTGAATAAATAAATAAAATTATGAATATTCTTTCTTACATATGCTTAAAAGCAAATGCTACAGTTATTTGAACAACATTCTGAATGACATAGCTATTATTATTGTTGTTGTTATTATGTTGTTATAATAATAATAATAGTAATAATAATAATATTATTATTATTATTACATTACTACTAATGCTCAGTTACATCATATTAATACTAATATAATCAGTGCATCGAACTAGCATCAATCGCCATTGTTAATCTAACCCTGCATTGTCATTATACCATTATAATAAAGTATCAGCAAGCAAGCAGAGTTAGTATTACGTTGTACGCATAAATATTATATTATAAGCAGGTTCGTGGTGGCGCAGACAGACATTTGGTAATACGATCTGATAATAATTTTTGTTGAGATTAAATTTTTGATAAGCACAAGTTGGAGACAGTTTTAAAATTCAAACTAAGCAACAAACGAATTGTTGGATATAATTAAACTGGTTTCGTCATCTTCAAATTTCAAAGTTAAAATTGGATAAGAAAAAGAACAGATTAAACTGTAAAAAATTAATTGGATTGATAGCCTTGCACTAAAAAAGTATTTGCAATAACCATGAAACCGAAGTTGAAAACTTTTCAAGAGAGAAATATAGAATCCTATTAACTTCATATATCAGTCAAAATACAATATAAAGTTTTTGACAGACTCTGAATCAAAATTTCGATCTATTCCTAAGGCTGGCTCACTAATCATCACAAAGATGATTACAAGGATGAAGACATGGGGCTGACAACTCGTTGCAAGGATGATGATGATAGAGCGGAGAACATCTCCAGCACTGTTATTGTTCCCGGAGTTCATGTATCCCAATCAATAAACCATTGTATAAAGAGCATTGTGCATCAGTAACGCATATAATATAAACACTTGAATGGGAGTTGTTCATGAAATAAATAATTGATTCTTCGGTGGTTGAAAATATTGGTTACAAACATTGAATCAAACATCAGTTTCTATGAAACATGAAATGTTAAATAAAAATTGGCTTTATAAATAATCCAAATGTCTTGAGTGCTTATTCATTTAAAGAAAGAAAAATATTGTCAATGGTCCTTTAAACAGGCAAGCAAGCAGGCAGGCAGGCAGACAACCAGGCCAGGTTCAGTGAAGCAGCAGTAGCTGTTGTTTGCTTATTTCCTTACTCAGTTTTGTAATTTATAAAATTATCGTGAGGCAGGCCACATTGCAGATAGGCAAACAATAATTATAATGGAAGATTAGATATAAAAGATTTCATGTCCTGTTTCCACCATCTGCATTAATCAACACTTGATAATTAGCACAATTTTATATAGCAATAACAAAATAATGAATAATTACTTGCATAAGTGAGGTCTTTGCCAGCTTACGCTAATATGTGCACAACCAGTATGAATGAATTGTATGTATGATTATGATGTGGGTCATTTAATAGTGCCGATATGCTAATTTAGAAAGTTCCAAGCAAGACTTAAGGATGGAGCAAATTCACGAAAACGAAGATCATCATGTTGACATTTAATGAACTTTATTAAAATGGTTTCCGTTACCTTAGTTACAAACTTGCATGGTTCATCTTATTTCACAAAACTTATAGCATTCTCACGGAAATTCATCTAACAGTAAAAAAGAAAACCAAATGGAAAATGACTAAAAATTGCAAATGCAAATAAATAAATAAGCATTCAGACATTATTTTATAATGTTTCATTCAGCGCACTACAGACATCCTGTTGTAACAGGAACTCCATACTGAATTGCAACAAAATGTATCACTTGCAGCCCAGCAATTTTCAATCATTATTGTTTATAATAATAATTTAGTAACAAAATTTAAATTTGCATTCTACATTTTAAAAAATTCCAAACGAAGGCATGAATTATCACATCTAAAACGTCAATTAGCTTATCCTTTATTATAATTTGGATAAATAAAAAACAAAAACAATTAATAATTAAAGGCTGTAATTAAGAAAAAAGTGTTTAAAAAGCTTCAGCATCAAAGCACCAGACAAATAATAACTGAAAAAGAATTATTATCGAAATTAGACAAACTTTTGGTGTGCACTTCAAAGTAAGTCGGCTTCTTGACCATCACCCCAGTCTTCTCCAAGCCAGGTCCAGATGCAGTGACCTTTGTAGGGTCTCCAGCCATTCCCTCCACTTTTGTCATGAATGGACTTTTGGGAATTTCGCGATTTGCAAATTTGATAACAACAGAATATTGACCTTCCATGGTTGGCGTATAATGACAGGAATATGTCAGATTCCTATCTTTGTTGAATATAACTTCACACTGCATTTAAAAAAACATCATTTGTGAGCTATTTAGAATTTTTCCTATCATTTCACATTTCGCTAGTCAAGCAACTTTAATTCAGAAGTTAAAAAAATTATTCGTAAAAACCTCAATTATAGCAAACCTGTTCTTTAACTCCATTTGGATTAGTGACAGCGATATCGAGCTCTCCACGTCCTGCACTGAAAGTTTCAACAGTGAATCTTGCAGGTGCTCCAACACTGTTTCCTGCGGCATCGAGACCTGGATGCATGCAACCGTTTAACAGTTACTATCGACCACGCTTGGAAATATGGCAAAAATATTATTTGAAAAAAAACCGTTAAGAGTATTCAAAATATTAGTAAAGAAAAAATAATAACCGAATATAATTGATCAAACCTGGCCCATAAGCACGAACTCTTGCGGGGTTGGTCTTAGGTCGAAGAGGAGCACCAGGCTTTAATTTGGCATTGGGAAATTGTGATAAATATGTCATCATGCTCAGTTCATCGACTTTCGGGTTGCACATTTCAGCAGGCTTAATCAACTTTGAGAAAAATTTGATGTAATATTCAAAATTAATAAATTGAGATAAGTTTAAAAAAATAAATGGAAATTCCGAAAAAATGTTTTCCTGTTGAAAACAAATGTACAAACTTTTATATGAAAAATAGCTCTGTCTAGACAAAACCATCAACTATCATGTTTTATCTTGAAGTTTCAATAAAATCAAGTCGTCCCGGATAAAAAACATTCAACAAACAACATCTAAACAACAAAAGTTTAAAAAAAATGTCGGATGTTTTTTACCTACCTGTGGCACATCGAGCCACTGTTCAGCTGCATTCATTGCTTCAGTAGCATTCGAAACATTATCTTTAGGATTCCAAGAGTCCCAATCAGGACATAAACCTTTAAAATGTTATTTTCATAAACTTTACTCTGATAAATCATATAACTATACGTGAGAGTAGAAACATGAAATCAACTAAAACGCAATAAATTTTCAATTAAAAACAAACTATGTGACAGAAGAAAAATTGAAAAAAAAATTCTGACCAGGTGCAACTCCATCAACGAGGGCACCAATGGCTTTGCCATCGTTCCAATCGGTTGTGAAGTTAGTGACAGGAACATCTGTGACCTTCCCGAGAACCCAACCAAGAAGACGCTGTTTCGGTGTCTGTTCAGTCTTTTTGGCCTTGTCACCTTCTTCCTCCCACATTGGCATTGAGATGGAATAATGAAGAATAAGAGTCCATATTAATCCGAGAATCAACTTCAATTTGCCATCAACAATTGCTGAGCTGTCTGCATATAGATGTAAAAATGTAATTATCAAGGTGAAATGGAAAGAGAAGAAAACGTTCTGGAATTAATTTTTATTTATATTTTCAACCTTTGATGATGTTTACATTATGTTTCTGAAATTTGCTTTTAAAAACATCATAAGAAAAAGACATAAATTTATATTAAATACATTGAAAAAATATAAAGTATGTCGTTGATGATGAATCAAATAAGAGCAAGCTTACAAACACCAACAAGAAAACTGAAAAATGATACAAGTTAGCTTAGTTAACACAACTAACAAGTTAACATAATTGAAACAACAAAAACAGAACATGGTTTAATTTTATCTATCTCCCAAATTAAACTATTAAACTAAAGTCCACTAAAGTAAAAATTTGAGTAAAATTGGCAATGATGCCGGAAGTAACTTCACTAAAAAAAAGGGTGCTGACCATGATAATGATAAAAATCCTAAAGTATGACATCTCTCCAAAAATTAAGATGGCTTTAATGTTGCTCGTGCCAAAAAAATGTAAGTAATTTTTTAAATAGTTTTTTACATATTTTTTTACACTGGATCGGCATGAATTAATTAATTTAAAAGCATACTCTATCAGTTAATTCTGAACATGCTACTACTATTTATATTTGTGTATTAATAAAAAATGTTACTTAATCTGTACGTGGATGTGTATGAAAAGCTCTTATTAACCTCAAAAGGATACTATCACAAAATGATGAGTGTTTGATAGCAATGCAGTACACACATGCATACAAATTCTTGACATAAAATCTTAATACTATAAGTTTAATATATGCACACACACATACACACACTTGTAAATATGTGTGTGTGTGTGCGTGTGTGCGTGCATGTGTGTGTGTAAGTGCGTGTATGCCTACCTGCGTGTGTTAGTACTAATTTTATACATTTTAGCATACAAATTTCAAACTGAGTATAAAAATTCAGAAAGTTTTGATAAATTTGTTGAATAGATTTATTAATAAAATCATATTTTTAATATGCCCAAACTGTTATAAATAGGTGTATGCATGAATATATTTGCCTGTTTTGTATATACATATACATATATGCCTGTATATATATATATATATGTTTATGCATATATATATATATATATATATATATATATATATATATATATATATATATATACAACAAAACAGCGTCAGTCCCATTTATCCTGAACTTTATAGATAATGCTTCAATTCAATTCTTTTACAGCGATAACTATTTCTGAAGAAGACTATGAGATTTCACCGTGATGATGATAGTGAGGTCATAGAAAATCAATAAAATCAAAACACGGGGACATAGCCATTTTAACTTGAGACCTATGTCAGGTTTTTGTCAAAACCAATATACCAAGTCCCTCGTGTAATAAATCAAATATCCCATCATATTTAATAATAATGGATCTAACGTTCAGTAATCCAAAACAAACATTTAGTTTTTAGTTTATTAAAAGAGCTGTTGTTTCTTCTTGATCTTTTCAAAGGACTATCACTGTTTGAACCATCAAATGTCATTACTTTTGCAATTTGAAAAACCGCCACATCCCTGCTAACGCCATCACCATCATAATAACTATAATTAAACAAGCATCGATTCCCAGCGCCATTACCATCAAAACCATTATCAGACATTATTTCACCGGCCTTCCTTTTGAACCTGATAATATGCCACTTGCCTACCGTTCTCCTTACCCTAAATAAAGAATCCGAACTTGAAGCCTGATTTGCTTTTGCTTCATCAACAAGTTATTTTAATTCGAGACGTTTTTCAACTATCAAATCGTGACTGAGCCAGACCTTATCAGGATCGTCAGACATGGATTTCAGTTTGAATAAGTTTTTCATGACTGTTTCTTTAATGACATCATCTTTCATCACTATCAAGATAGGTCTAATCTTCGATTCTGCCTTCTGTCCAAGTCTGAAAACTTTTTTGAAGTCAAGATCTTTGACATCACTCGACAACTTCTTTATAAGATTCTTGACTCTGTTAACATCATCTTCATTTTCAGGCAGATTAAACATTACAATATTATTCCTTCTTTCTTTAATTTCATTCGCATCGTCTAACGGCTTCTTCACATATTTTACTCCATCATTGATTACATCAATATTCTTCTTAACCTCCTGCCCAACAATATTTGCTCAACTCAACTTTTGTTTTGATCACCTTTGACATTTTGAATCTCAGTACTCAGTATGGCAGTTGGTTTATCCAAGTTGTCCAACATCATCATTGCCTTTTATAAGATTTTTTATTTGTATCAGCTCATCTCTAACCGCAGCATTTAAATCGTTGATCTCCTCAATTTTTGTTTTAATTCTAACATAGTTATCTATAACGACATTAGCCAGCACTTTGACATTTGGAAGCACCTTCAAATAGCAGTTGCAGAACCACTTTAAATTCTCTGTATTCGTAACCACATCGAATGAGGCATTGTCTAATCCCCGCATTTTTAGTGATAAACAGCTTTACATTGAAAATTTTTTATTTCATCTTTCTCTACAACGATCTTGAATACTTGAGGCACCTGACAGCTATAATCAATTAGAAGACAAATGAGAAAAAACAACTTAATCAAAATACAAATCAAATATATTGTCACTGGAAAGTTAGCAGTCTGCAAAAAAAACAAAGAAAAAACAACGCAAAATAAACACTTCAACTTTCGAAAAACTATATATATATATATATATATATATATATATATATATATATATATATATACACACATACATACACATATACACACAGATATATATATATATATTTTTTGGACATATATATATATATATATATATATATGTAATTATGTATGTATGTATGTATCTCCAGTAGTTTATGAAATCTACTGAATTCTGTAGATTTCATAAATTACTGCATTAATTATGGTCTTTTACCAGCATATATATATATATATATATATATATATATATATATATATATATATATATAAACATTTATAAGCGCTAATTAAAATCAAAAAGTTCTCAAAAGCGCTATATATATATATATATATATATATAGCGCTTTTAAGTTCTCCAAAGTGCTATATACATATACATATATATATATATATATATATATATATATATATATATATTAACAAGTTATCAATCCCAACAAAGTTAAGACTAAATTATGCTTATTATGCTTGGAGAAAATGAGCATGAATAATATATAAACTGTTCAGAGCATCGCATGGCACACAAAATAATGCTACCTGCATGTGCATTAAACAACACAGCATTAATGCTTATTAAATGCAGAGGAATGTATCATAGTTTCATTTAGTCATCAATGAAAATGGCTTTCTGATTTGCAACATTACAGCAGTAATCTTCAGCATCATCCAAGATTCAATGTGTAAAAAATTTTAAACATATTTTCATGTTATTACATTATGTTGCTTGACCATTAATTGTTAGTTTAAGACTTGAACATTGTCAAATAGAAAGTAATATTAACTTGAAGACAGTCAGGCTTGAAAGTATCAGAAATTGTGATATAACTAATCCTCTTTTGTAAAATGTAAATACAGTATATGCTTTATTGATCTGATATACTCCTTGAGCCAATACATTATAAGCCTGGTAATAAACACCTTGAAGTTCATTAATCACAATCCAACATGCTATCTCCAGAACATTATGGTCTTAACAGGATTTTAAGAACATGCAGACACACTTATCGTAAACATTTAGTTAACTTATTCATTTATCAATATTTCCATAATTATAAAGAAAACTCTAATACCAATGAATAACAAAAAATAGTCTTATACCAAAGTGTGAACCAATCATGGAATAATAACTAATGATAACACTCATTAACATAATTGGAGGAAAGGACAATCACTCACAACAAATTACTTTGATTCAGGTGTCTACTTGTGCAATGAAGGTTCAGAAAATTTGTGTTTGTATTACATTAAACTTAAAACTACCCGTGATGTTTTACAACTATGCCCCCAAGACTTACCTAACTTTAAATTAAAATACACAGTTCAGCCTTAGTCACATAGGCGCGCACACACACTCACACACAACACTCATATAACTTGCAATGCATGTGATTAATGACAGCAAGGAATGTGTGTATTATATTACATCTAGCATCAGCTGAATTAAACAAACTTGGAGTAGTTTTATAATATAACGAAAAATAGGTTAACATTAAAATAATGATTTTGTATAACCAAATTTAATAGAACTGCTTCATATAGATTTTTCAGCATTAAATACAACATTTCAACTTAAAATACTTGAGTTTAAGGAGCAAAATTAATAAAATAGTTATCAGAAAAGTTGCACCACCTACTCACAAATGAATTAAATAAAGGAAAATCGTTATATTGATGACATAAGTAACAACATTAGAAGTTGAGAATGCACATTATATCCAATCTATTAAAAGCAACATATTTAAAACACACTGATGTGCCATTCAAAACTTCTCATGTGGAACATGCTAAATTAATAAAACTGCTTCATTGTGTGGCTTACTAAAGGCTGGCATCTGGTATAATTGCAGCCATTATATTGGTGTAAACAAATGATTTTCAACAAAAAATTAAAATAATAATGCTTATTGAAGCCTGTAAAATTAAATATTCAAATATAAACATAAATAAATGCCATAATATTTTGAAATATGAAGATTGATAAAGTTGTAAAATAAAATTACCATTGATTTATTATAACTCAATTTTGTCCAATGTTCATAGAAACACAAATTCATACCCACATTAGGTTTTGTAATATTTGAATAGACACAGCATGCCAACATGAAAGATATCTGAACTGGAGATGCATGCTTCAATTCAGAAAATGGATTGTTCAACTGCTGAACCAACCTATTAATAACATGCACATCTGCATATTATATACATTCAATTCAAATCCATATTAAGAGATGCTTGGAGATGTAATGCAGTTTTTACAACTTGATTTCTAAACTATTCTACTTTATTGTTGCATTAATTGTTCTAAAATAGGGCAACAAGAAAAATAAATGAAACCAGTAAGTTTGGCTGGATTGTAATTTTCATAATGCATTTGGCAATGAAGACTAAAAAATGATTTGAATAAAAATGAAAAGTCTGTAATTAAGTTATATTTTCAAATTAATGAATTGATTTTAGAAGATGTAGCTTAAAAATATGTAAATATGATACATTATATAAAAATAATTATTACTTTCCTTAATCATTAAATAAAATATTATTATAAAGGAAATTGCGAATAACAACATTAAAATAAAAAAAAATCATGGCTACACTCCTGTTCTTGGTGGAAAGCTTCAGATTTTGATGAATGCATAAAATAATAACATTGAAAAATACAGCTATATAACAAAAATTAGAAAAGACAAGTAAAGTAAATGATAATGACATTGGCTGGTATTAACACTGGTATTGGTATTAATGTTTCATCATCCAATAATAATTTTGAGATTGTAATTGTCAATCATTTGCCTCTAACAGGTGAGTTTAAAATAATCTTCTTATTAATACTATTGTCTTGCATAAAAATGTAATTCTTATATATGAATACAGCATAACAAAAATGCATTCCATGAATGAAGCAAAATATGAACATGCACCTAATGGACCTGTCTGCATGCTGTGGAGTACACAGTGCACATTTGCATCAGTTACTTTATAGATGATTCACAATCATGACTCACAACATCTATCATACTAGATTTAAATTGAAGCATGGCATTTACTTTTCCTAATGCTATATAATATTCCAATGTGTTGTGTTAATTATATAAACAAACATTTTCATTTTTTTCACTTTCAATCTTTTGGCTTAACCTTATGTTTTCTACAAGTTTTTGAATTGAATTATATTATGTTATAAAGTAGCAGAATAAATATTTCGATTTCAGCTGAATTTAATTATTCATGCATGTTTGTGTTTAATCGATTTACTTTAGAATTTAGTTGTATGAAATTCAAAGAACAAAATTCATCTAACAATCTTCCTTTTTTGATTTATAAAAAAGTCATTAAAAGCAGTAAATATACACATGCATAAGCACATACATATATTATTTACGTGTGTGAGTGCACATGTGCATGCACAACACCACATAAACAATAAACATAATGTAATACATATAAAAACCTAAAAATTAACGAATGTTAATTTAATATTTCAATGAAAATAGATTTTTTAATATTACATTACATTACAATCAGAATTACATAGATTACCTATGTTCACTATCTTGATTCCTTCTTCTTTTTGCAAGAATTCAAGAGCCAGTGTAACATTTTCCAACTTATGAGATCTCATCGTTGGCCGTTTGTTAAATTTAGTAAATCTTTTGCCACTCAGGACTTCGACCAGAGCAATGAACCTCAGACCATCAGACAAATCAGTTTCCAAATCCACGACATGTTTGTTCACTGTTTTCAAATGCTCATTGGTCCAACGCGTAAATGTGTTCTTCTGAATTAGTTTCCACTGAGCGTCACCAGCCAAATCTCTTTCAGCAGCATCTCCCGGAGTCTGCACTTCTCCCAAAATATCTTGAGAATGCCTTCTTACTGACATTGTGATTTTTTTTTAGCAACAAACAAATTGTGGCTATCTTTTTTAAATAGTTTATTTATTTTCAAGCTCTATTATATAATTTATAACCTAAACTCTTTTTCTTGGAAGTAAAGTAGTACGAATTAAAACAAACGAAACAGCGAGACACACAACGACGACAAACTTAAAGTTTGGTCAACAAAGCTGGTACAGTCACTTTATATATATACCAGTGTTGAATGACAGATCTGTACTCTATACTCATTTATATGTTAACATAATGCCGTATGCATATATAGACATATTTCATTCACTATGAGTCTATACGTGTCTATGTAGTGCATAGCATGCAACACACACTTACCTATGAATTGATACTAAATTTTTATGTGTATATGCATACGCATGCACACATGTACTCAAACTTAAATAGAAAAATTGAGTAAGCGGTATGGGTGAAAATAGTTGATCTGACGTCAGATACGTCGGCCAGTACGAGCGGTGGCGCAACTAGACTTAACCTGCGGGGGGGGGGGGGGGGGGGCAAATAAAATACTTGTGTAGCATCATAAGACAATTTAACAAGCACTCGTTCAAAAACAAGACAAGTTAATTTTCCAGACCAGGTATTACTTCGAACAATAGTAGATTTTCAGCTTTCACAAAAATGTTGTAGAAGTCATTATTGTCGATAATATAAATATACAATGCAATGTGAAAGCAAGCATATTATACAAACATTTAATATGATTGTATGTTTGTTTGTTTGTTTAAATGAGTGTATGTTTGAATGAATAATGTATGACATAAGTGTTAGGAGCTAGCAGACTCAGAAAGACGCTTTAAAAGTATTCAGATACCTACGCACCTAAGACCTTTAATGACGTTTAAGGTTTGTTATGTTGAGTGTCAATTAGTTATTATTTTTCGTCATCAAGTGTTGCAATAGAAATCGTTTTTTGTAACGTTTATTTATTTTACTGGTCAATTTTTATAAACTTCTCTCATTGGTTAATATTATGAATTCTTATTGAAAACAAAAACTGTTGAATATTCACAGAGAACTGAATAATCAAGCTGCACGCATATATATTTATAGTAAACTTGTCGTAATACTAACGGCATTAAGCTCGTTTATTGTATCGCTAGTTAATTGGAAACTCAATCATGTACAGAATAATTAATGAATGGTCTAGTAGTTTTTACGTGCTATAAGCTATATTATGATCTGGTGAACACTTTGTTACGTTAATGTTCGATTTTTCTTTAATGAATTGGCTGATTTGGAAGAATTACCTCTAACATCCGAAACATTCCTTTCTTTTTACAGCAGCAAGCTTATCGGTAGAAAAATAGGTGCATTTAAATTACATATTTTAAAAAATGTATCCCTATAAAAGAAAACTAAAACCAGGTACCATGTCAGTCTAGATAATATCATAAAAACTAGCCTTTAGCACAGCAACGCTTAATCTTTGAAGGGATATTTTGATTTCAGCCATAGGAGAAGGTGTTAAACAAGGTATAGATACACGCCGGAATGCGAAAGAGGAGCCATTACCGTTGTAAAAACAGCATTTTATAAACATTTTAGTTGCATTAAAAAACTTAACGTTTTATAAAGTTAGTATTAAAATTATGTCAGAGCCTGCAATAGCCTACTAATCTTTTCATTGCATTCATATATATATTTATGTGTTACCAAAATATAAGGGAGCCCTCTCTTAAAAGTTAATGATGCAAAACTATGTTTAAAAAAAGCTAAGAAATATATAATGTATACCATTGCAACTAAGCATTTTAGCATTTTTTCGACACCAGCCAACTTTTCAAACGAAGATTTCGAGTATGACCTGAATTGTTCAATGAAATTTAAGTCTATCAGTGAATTGGATTTATTAACAGTATGTGAATTCTGCCTTTTCTCAGGTATCCCGGTTTCGATACCTAGAGACCACTTCCGAAATTGAAACGCTTGTTCAACCGGTACTTGGGACCCTCCTTTAAAAAAATTAAAAACCTAAAGTACTGCAGTGGTACACGAAAACCCTTGGAATGTTTTATGCTTTTTAAAGTAATGTTTTATTGTAAATCGAATTTTCATTTATGATTGCCAATAATTTATTACGATAGTATATACCATACTATACTATGATTTTTACTCTCACAGAACGTCATAAATATCAAACACAAAGCTAGCGAGTAAAATATTTTTGCTTTTTAAACGAAACAAGTATATGACGAGCTTCTATTTATATTGAACTATCGATCTTGGTTCATCATATATCTTAATGTTATTGTTAGTCTGTCGCAACTCACATCTTCCTAATTGTTTGTTTGTTTTCAACTTTAGGCCTTTGTAACGATATTGCGTCGAAAAAGGCTCAGTCTTGCAGAGCACCAAATGTTGAACTATTTGAATAAACAACACATTAAAGATCTGTGAAACGAACTGCAATGAGATTGACCGTAAATGTTAAAAACCATCAGAATAATTTTCAATAATAAACAAATAATAAAACAAAAACACATCAACAAAAGTGTGTATATTGGCATATGTGCACATTCATATTAATTTGATGTTTTAATAGCTTAAAAATGAAGTTTTACCCGACAAACATTATAAAAAGAAATAGTCGGAAAAACGAGTTTTGAAAACAAATGCTGAACCAATAATTGGAATGATTTCATTGCTGTCAGGAGTCTTTTTTACTAAGTAGGTTTACACAAATCTCTCGCTTTTTAGAAAGCACTAAAAGATTAATTGATTGGTACAACCAAATAACCTGTAAATTATTAAATATAGAATAATATCAAATTTATTATCAAATCTTGTGCATTTCTTATCATATATTTTACAGGTTATGGCTTTGGAAAATAAAATCAAAAATTTGTTAGATGGGCATATTTTTCATAGGACTACAACTGTGAAATGTGAAATACAATCCAGCTCTTTGAATAAGTACTAGAAATTATTCATATTTAACGACATTAATGTTATTCGTTAGTCCGGCTTAGTACTATGAAATACCAAATACCATACCATTACTTCTGATTAATATAAACGTTTATTGTGCACCACACGCGATGTTACTTCAGAGGCGCCCGGAACCTACGTACACAATATAAAAAAGGTGCTCTTAAACCAATACATTTATAGTCAAGATTGAGAGGAAATCGAAAATTTAGCATAGGTTGTTTTGGAAAAATTGCTGAAGACCCATGAATTGATCTAGTGTGTTACATATAACGTATGACATGGGTTATATAATTATGCAAAAGATTGGTCGATAGAACTTTAATTGTTGGAACTGCGATTAAAATAACGTGAAAGGAAACTTAGAGCAATTACAGCATTAAAAGATTAATAGAAGAATTCGAACGAGAAAGTATGTTTAGAATGAGTTTGGCAGCTTCAATATAAATGTTCTACCACTTTTTTGATGAAGGGAGTTTTTATTAAAGAGTGAACTTCAATTATCCAATCATGATAGAATTATCAAGAGTAAGAACAACATCAATGGTGAGCATGTGTTAGATCAGAAATGGTAGTTGCAACATCAATTATGTTGGAAATTTAATTACCAAAAGTCAGATATTTGTCGCTGAAGAAACAAGTGTTTTGATGGCCTGTGATTGGTAATATAAATCCTGCTACACAAGGCTTGATTTATAGATGCTCAAACCCTTTAACGACAAAAGTGTGGTGGCAACCATTTATTTTAGGGAAAACGTCGTTTTTTCTGTTTTAAACAAATACCAATAAAACACGGTCCTGTTGACCAATACTGTAGGTAGAATTTGAACATATATTGTAGGTAGAATGTGAACAATATGTTTATTATGTTTTGACAAAAAAACGTTATTTTTGAGGTCCCAAAGCAGTACCTTCGCTAGCCCACACCAAAATCGAGCCCAGATGTTATGTTTATGTTTTGTAGTATAAGTAACGGCGCCTCTGAGTTCAATATAGAGGGGCACTATAAAAACGATACTAATCACTGAACGTGGAGACTGCATATGAAATAAACCTGAAATGAACCACTGTCGTACACAAAGCCATAAAAAACAGTAATTAATCGATTTATTAATAATTAACGTTTTGCTGAATCATATTCAAAAACAACAATACACACGAAATTACATAGAAAGTGTGTAAATTTTGTGTAGATTTTGTGTAAATGCAATTAGAAATTAGTTGAATAAAGTAGCTAACCACAATGCAACATGACAGGAAAAGTAATGGAAATGAAAAAACCATTGATACGAACATTCCATTCTTATCAAAGTATTGATGCTTTGAAAAAACTCTGCAACGACAAAAAATTTATAAAAACAATTTAAACAGGAGATAATTTGTAAATAAATTTATACGTAACAACTAAGTCATAAAATATTCACTTCTAGATGGTAGTGATGAATTTTCGTTAGTTTGTTAAGGTGGCAACTTTATGGAAGAAAAATAAAACTTAATAAAATTCATTGAAACCTGAAATTAATGGCTGCCCATTTGTTTAAATTTTCCGACATGTACACAGCAAACACTGAAAATTTAATTCATATTATTATATATAGTTTTTGAGATAATCTTATTATTTCAATTAAGCTGCAATGTGATCTACTAAAAATGTTAAAGCAGTCAAAAACTTAAAAATTAGTTAATCTAATTAAAAAACGAACAATAGTTTACATTTAAATACAAACACAAACAAACCCCATACAGTAAAAACAAAACAAAACAAATTGAACAATTTGTTGTTGCATTAAAACTGTAATGACTGTAATGGCCAGGCAGAAAAAATGAAACAACAGCAAGACCCAAATCCATGACTCTGACCAGTCAATCTATTGAAAAAATTTTTAAAACTCTAGTAAATTTAATGGAAGTGAATGAGCACAAATTATTTGATAAACATTTCAAAAATTTGTCAAACAAAGCCAAACAGCACTCTGAACTTTTTAAAAAAGCTTATGAATGAATGAACAAATGAATGAATGATTGAAGGAATTAAATAATTTTTAATTTACTTACATATTGAACTATCGAATAAAATTTTTTTCTATTACAAGTTTGATTTTGTATTTGTATGTGCTATTTGTATAATAAACCTAAATTATCGAGGTTTTGCAAATTATGTAGTTTATATAATCACGATTCTTTTATATGGTAATACAAACATTGTTAAAAATTTCAGCAAGCGAATAATATGCACCTTGCTTGTTACTTACCTAAGTACATGCACAAAGTAATCATTATATTTTTAATGTTATAAATTAATATATCAATAACAATGAAAGCTGTAATAAACTTAAGCAAAATTCCACTTTCTTGTCATTCTTACTAAAAAATCTTATACAGAATAGAATAGAATAAATTTGCAGTGCAGGCAAGACCTCTCGCCACCATAACGCAAACAGTTTTCAAGAATAAAGAATTCAATTAGTAAAATGAATGAGTTTTACATCTTTTGATTTCATATCTTTACTTCCAAATATAGAACTCACTCTGCCAAAATTCATCTAAGGCTTTCTTGAAGCTAGTAAAATTGGCTGATTTGACCAAATTTTCAGGTAGACCAATTCGGTCATTTACTATTCTGTTGGTGAAGTGGTCTTTTTTGACATTTTTTCGGCATGTCCACTTAATAAACTTAATACAATTTCCTCTTATCGCTATGGTTGTTGCCCAGTCTGGTTTGATATAGACATCCAGCAGTCCATTAAGCAAATAATAAGTTAATATTATGTTTCCTATTCTAAGTCTGTAAACCAGCAAAGGCCACTCTAAAATCTTTAATCTATCCTCGTATTTTAATCATCTGCATTGGAGTGGTACTTTGGATGCTTGTTTTGAAAATGTTAAATTTGTTATTTTTTAAATGAGTACCATGCAACCCCACCATACTCCAGAATTGACCTTATCATAGATTTATAAAATGTAGCAAAAAAGCTACATTTTTCAAGTCTCGTTTTAGCAAAACAATCATTCTGTTTGCTTTTCTAACAGTCTGAAAAACATGATTTCTGAAAATTAGCTTGGAGTCTATAAGTATACCGAAATCCATAGTTTTTTGCTTTTAGATACATCTCTATTTCTTCTAATCTACTCACGTTAAGAAGTGCTTTTGACCTCCAATTTTTAATATGAAACATATAGAAGCATTTACTTTTAAACCACATTAATTAAATTAAATAAATATTATAAATTATAAAAATATTATAAATAATTTTATTTAAGAAACTTGAGATTTTCAAGATTGAAATTTCAATTAATTTTAATTTATAATATAGGAAAGTCAGCAGCAAAAGTACTCGGAAGACTAGGCTAGTGTCTAGCGCTAGGCAGCTAGATAAAATTTAAAATATTTTTTAAATAAAAACAAAATTACTAAAATAATAAAATTAGAAAAGAAAGATGTTGAAATTCCTCACTTACATGATAAAAGATTTCTAAAACACCAACAGTAAACATTGTCCACCTGGTAAACGTTGTACCGTCCAGCAAGCAAATATTTTTTCCACTTTTATAACGGTTCAGACTTATTTGATTTAATTTTATATAATTTAGTTTAGTGAAAATTTGCTCTACCAAAATGAAAAAATGAACTAAAAGTTTAAAAATGGACTTAGCATAAAAGGGTAACTAAGATACCCCTGGTTATAAAAGTAAACTTAAGCTTGGTAAATTATTAAGCATCTCCATTTTTATTTTATATATGTGCCGCCACTTGATTCTATATGCCTGGTTATATAAGTATATGCCTCTGCCTTTCCCGTAGAATCAAAAAAGTAAGGTGTTATCTCTTATATCTTACTTCATGTCTTCCAGGTCCCAACACTATGTTGATCAAACAAGCGGTTTATCCCGGTCGATACAAACGAAGAAAACAAAGTATCGAGATAGACATGCCTTCATAATACTTTTAATTTGATCATCATAATTTTTATACGTTTATATTAATTAATTAATTATGGCTGAACAATTCATAGGTCATGTGCATTTTTCAGTGTCTGCCAGAACGTTGTTGCATCTATCATATGACGACGTTCGATTGTACAATGTACATATTCATAAAGATGAGTTTGCAGTAGAAATTTATTTTCGAGCTTGTATACCTTCAACTCTTCTCTTAGTGATAAACAAACGTTGATGCCATTGCATCTTAGTGATCAGCAAACGTTGATGCTATTGCATGACGATTTATAGGTCAACGCCGTTGGTTGACAATGACTCAGTCAGTACATTATCTAGAAATTCTTGTTTGGCACTTCGATCGTTTTTTGGTATACTTGTCGAAGCTCGCTAATTTGGTGTTCCAGTTCATTTTTAGACGGCACTCTTAACTCGATCGACACACGAATGAGTCGACTGTGAATATGATTGCGCCGATATAGGTATCTGACTTACAACTTATAATCAGTGAGTGCTAAGCCAGTTCTTTTAAACATTACTGAGTTCGTGATTTCGACCAGCCAATATTATGCGAGAATGTTCTGAAAATTTCATGAAAAAGCTTTGAAGGTTTTGATGTCGGCTTCACTTTCATAAGGTATTGGTGAAACTCAGACATCCTTATATAGAGAAATCTTCGTAAATTTATAACCGCGGGAATGATAGAATTGCGCTATATTATTTGATTGAGCTATTTTTGCTGTATTTGAAATCGTTAGAAAGATTGTAAAATTGTGTCAATGCTAAAAATTTGCTATAAAAACGACCTACGAGTGAGGCTTACGAGGAAGGTTTCTAGTGAGGTTCGATACGAAGTCGTAAATGAGATTTATACAGATATTTGGATTAGTTAATTGTTTCTATTATTGTTGGTATTCAAATAAATGTTAAACAAAGTTTGCGTTTGAAGCAGTTGTGTTCATCTATCGGAAATCAAATCTTGAACATACAGAATAAGGAACACTTTACGATCGTTGGGAGCTGGAAATGGTGTTGGAAATATAGAGATTATTGAAGTCATAACATTGGTGTTGTAATTTAAGAATACACGTGGTGTTCAATGTCATTGTCCAGGCTGTAAAAGTTACTAAGTATTGATCATGAAAGATTAAGTTAATGTATCGGTCTCAATCTTTTTGGTGTTGATAAAAAAAATCTGCACATCTGAAGGCATTCGCCACTACGTTTACATTATTTTGTAGGTTAGAGACGGTATGAACGGAAATGGCAACGTTGTCAGTTTACCAAAGTTCAAAGATTCCGTTTGGATGTTTTACTTCTTACTTTTATTCCGCGAGTGTTGAAATGATCTACATCTAGGCGGTGATTGAAAGGAACGCCATCTTTTGAAAAAATGTTCATCACGATAAAAAAAAGAACAACGACAGTGGTATACATAAATTGGTGACTGGTGCCAAGACCCATTCTTACCATGTTAGTCTTCAAGCCATCGTGACACTTTCACAGTAGTTAGAAAAGTTGGTGAGCAGCCAAATTTATCGAGAACCGTCCAGAATGTGTCCATGATTACTGAATCATATGCTAAATGTTAAATTGAAAAAAATCTTAAAAAAACGATTTTGCTCTCGACACATCTCTTTTGGAATTTGGCCAACAATAATTATTTGAACAAAAATGCAGCAGCGTCAAAAATCGTGACGCTGTGACATTGTGATTATGGTATAACTACGTCTACAATTTATTTCTGGAGTTAATTTAACAAGACAAGCGCAGTGGAGCAAGTTTATACCATATTATATATATCCATGGTTTATACCACGATTTTTCCTCATGCTTGCTGACCACCTTTTTTTCTGTAAACGCTCCAGATATAGTAGCAGTGGCCCGTTTTTAGCCTACTAAACTTGAGAAGTATAGTGATGCAGTGATCCCTATATTTGAAAAAATTCACAATACAGTTGTCGTCCACAAAAGACATAGAAGTCTGAGTGAGGGATTTTGTTAAAAAACTTTATATGAAAAATTATTTAAAAAGTGAATTAATGTCAATAGCGTGAATGCTTGGAAAAGTGGACCACTAACAAAGAACGGAAATGGCAACAGTATAAAAAATTCATTTAATGACCAGGTTGGTTTGTATCAACACTTAGCACTAAGTTCTTTACGGTTCATTATATTAATGGAAACAATAGCTAGATGTCAAGAGCGTTTTCGTTCAAATTTTTAAATTTTACAAAATTTAAGACAAATCAGTAAGTCACCAATATAAATTTTAAATCAATTAAAAAACGTTGTGAAATGCCAGTCTTAAAAAAATACAAAAAAAATATATGAAATGAAAACGCATTTCCGTAGTGTTTATAAAGTACTTTGTTCAGATTTTTAGTCAGACAAAAAAAATAAATAAGCAATAGATACTATCAAATGCAGCTAATAAGCAGTTTTATGACAGCAAACAAATTCCAAGATTAATGAAAAATATTGATTAAACGTTAAAACCCAATAACACATCAATGTTGAAACTGTTCGTTTTATGAAAACATAAAATAGGATGGTTACAAGGGGCTCTCTACCAATTTATTTTCTTGACATTTTGCAGCATGGGAGTTAACACGTTCAAATTTGAGTATAAAATGTCCCAATATACCTTTCAAAGCAAATGCAGTAGCAAGAACATTCTTAATCAGAAATACTGATACGTTTTCATTATTTTTATGATTAATGTGACTTCTGATTACCAGCATTGGAATATTTATCAAAAGGTGATAGACAAATTTATGAAGCAGTGAAAATCTTGTTGTTAATTTGTCTTTTCCATACCGGGAATTAGAAAGCCCAAACAATAACAACGTAGGCAAAGTGATATTGAAGCATGCTATAGCTATAATAACAATCTGAATGTTATAATTCAGCATAATTTTTGATTCAT